TTTTCTTTGGCTTTTATTTTCTTTGGCTGATTTTTTTTTCTTTGGCTGATTTCTTTTTCTTGGGCTGATTTATTTTTCTTGGGCTGATCTCCTTATTCTTGGGCTGATTTCTTTTTCTTTGGCAGATTTTATTTTCTTTGGCAGATTTTTTTCTTTGGCTGTTATAATTGTTTTTTGCCTGATTTTTTTTCTTTGGCCAAGTTTTTTTTTTTTTTTTTTGGTTCCTTTTCTTTTCCTATTGCGTGAATGAAGTTGCCAAAGATGTCAGTGGGAATGGGCCCACCAGCACACATCCTATCAATCAAAAAAATCAAACTACAATGATTCTAACATCTCAAGCCAACATTGTTACAAGTTGTCAACAAGTTCTGAAAGTCATAGACCTGTCCAACCTAATCAGTCTGTTCAAACGTTGCACAGAAAGTGAATGGTATCAGGTCACTGAATTTGGCCTGTCTGAGCTCACCAAGAAAGTGCAAGACACCCTGGATGCCTGCAGGCCGAAATCAGATAGGCATCCAACCAAGTCACTGAGTGTAAGGATTGTGTATCAATCCTTCACTGTATGTTGGAAAGGCACTAGCAAGGAGCTCAATAGCTCCAGCGGGGACATTTCTAGTACCGGAGTGGATTGAATTTGAGTTCAGACAGGAGTGTAAGCCTGTGAGGAGCAGGGCTTACACTGAGACAATCACAACAGATGATATTTTGTTGAACATGGAGAAGGAAAGAGAACAAGCTTGTTAGAGAATATAGCTTGAGTAAAGGTTCATTGGGATGGGAAGTAAATGTGAATAATACAAGTTCTTCTAATCAGGTTGAGATGTACTTCCATTGTAATTATTGTGAGCTAGAAAATTATAAGACAACAGAAAAAGATGTATTCAATTCATCTTTCTCATGAGGAGCTTATCCAGGATGAACCCATGCAGTTTGAGGAGTTCATCTTGAAGGAATTCAGAAATTGTGGTACTTTTCACAAATTTTGTATTATGTACAAGCAGACACCCCTATGCAGCAAAATTGTACAGCCTTAATGGCAAAAATATTCACTGAGTTTCAGATTGAATACGGTGTCAGGGATGTTGGCCACAAACAACAGCTTGGGAATTGCCACTATACCACATTGAAAAAAACCATACTGTAAAGAAAGTTAAGTTTGCTAGGAAACAGCTGTCACACTGTCTCCAAGTGGAATTTCAAAAGGTGCCACTGAGTTTTGAGTGAAATACACATGTTGGGGTGGCTGGTCATCAAGGGAAGCTTGGTAATTTCCCCTATTTCACAGTTGAATACATTCCATGCTTCAAAAAAAACAAGTTTGAAATGATGGTATACTATCCAATCCATCTACACTGATTCCGTCTCTGTACGAGTTCCGGGTGTGGCCAGGACAATTGGGGTCCTAATGGCTCCACCCGTAGCCCTACCTGGTCCCCTAAATAGCTTAGGGTTTTCATGAGGGGCGCGTGAGGGTCTTGGGAGAGGTCGTCCCCTCTACTCATGTGCCCCCGGTGAGGGGGGCCTAAATGGTGGAGGAGGATCTCTTCCTGAAACAGAGAGGAGAAGTGTGGGGGATCGCGCTAGACCCTTGGGTGGGAGGGAGGAACTGAAAAAAGAAGGGCGCGCGTGGTGACGGGGTAGCTGGAGAGGTGTGAGGGAAGGAGCATCCACTGATGCGGGGCTGAGAGGGTCAGAGAAGGGAAGAAGATGAACTCGTCTTCCTGGGGCGATTGGGGCCTGAGCGCTGCTAGGTCTGCTCTGACCCCTCAGCCTGGGACAAAGCTCCAGGCGCTCGTGTTCTTGGACCTTGGACACATCCGCTAAGTGCTCCTGTCTAGAGATGTCACTTCAAACCCGGGTACCCGCAGCGGGTGCGGGTACCCGCTCCAAAAATCACTTTTTTTGGACACCCGCACCCGCCACGTCTGCCAGGGCGGGTACCCGGGTACCTGGGCCGGGTACCTGCGGGTGTGGGGGGTCTATGGGCCTCATCGGCCGGAAGGGATTCCTTCCGGTCGATGAGGCTGTTCCACCTCATCAATCGGAAGGAATTCCTTCCGGTCGATGGGGTTGTTATACCTCACCGATCTGAAGGAAATCCTTCTGGTCGATGAGGTATAACAACCTCATCGACCGGAAGGGATTCCTTCCGGTTGATGGGGTTGTTGTACCTCATCGATCTGAAGGAAATCCTTCTGATCGATGAGGTATAACAACCTCATCGACCGGAAAGGATTCATTCCGGTCGGTGAGGCAGCAACCAAATGTCAGAGCAACTCCACCGCGGGCCCTAGTTTCGGGCCGTTAAAATTTGATTGTTGGGACTGCGCCGCCAACTTTACAGCCTTGAAGTGCTGTGGCATGCACCGCAAGAGTCTTCAAAAATCCGCGAAAGGGTGGTGTGAAGTTGGAAGCGATTTGGATTGAGGTGGAGGAGTAGAGTTTCACAAGCTGGTTGTTGTGTGAAAGGGGATTGAGCGGTCGATAGAGGAGTCACTAGGAGTCCCTACATGTAGGGACTCGGGCTCAAAATTTAGGGACGGCCGTAGATTTGGGACACAAATAGCGGCCGCGGTGGCTCATGTTGAGTCTGTAAATTCCAACAAGCAACCCGATTTACCGACCGCGGTGGAGTTGCTCTCATTGAGACTGTACATCGAGACTGTACAGTCTCAATGACCGGAGGAATCCCTCCGGCCATTGAGACAGTGTGCAGTCTCAAAGGCCGGAGGGTTCCCTCCGGCCTCAACAGGCCCATGTAGGACACCAACTGGTGTCCTACATGGGCCGCTGACACCCTGGTAGAGCCCAAAACTCCCAAATTGCATTCCCAGGGCGGGTGTCAGGCCGGGTGTCAAGGTGGGTACCCGGGTACCCGCCGTTTTTTGTCCCAAAACTCGACACCCGCACCCGCACCCAGCACCCGCGGGCGGGTACCCGCTCAGCAGAACAGGTACCCGTTGCCATCTCTACTCCTGTCTCCCCCAATCCAATCCATCTACACTGATTCCGTCTCTGTACGAGTTCCGGGTGTGGCCAGGACAATTGGGGTCCTAATGGCTCCACCCGTAGCCCTACCTGCTCCCCTAAATAGCTTAGGGTTTCAGGAGGGGCGCGTGAGGGTCTTGGGAGAGGTCGTCCCCTCTACTCATGTGCCCCCGGTGAGGGGGGCCTAAATGGTGGAGGAGGATCTCTTCCTGAAACAGAGAGGAGAAGTGTGGGGGATCGCGCTAGACCCTAGAACTCAGGTTAGAAGCCTGAGCCTCAGCGCGAAACCCCACACTTCGTCCTGGGTTCTGCCCTCAAGCGAAATTTGGAGTGAAATTAGATCATGACAACCTCCATTGCAAATCTAGTCTTGATAACAGCTGCAAGGACTGTTAAATCTTCCTCGTAGTATAGCCTAATGTACAACTTGTAGCTGGCCGAGGCCCAGCGCCCCGCCCTGCAAATTTGAGCTGGGGGAATACCCAGAGCGTTCTGGAAAGACGCTCCTCCTACTCTGAATGAGTGGCCTGAAAGGCCGTGGAAACTATGCGCGGTCCAAATCGCCGTGAGCCGCTTCTTGACGAAATATTTCGACAAAGTTACGCGACAGCCATCTTTCTGATAGCTGAACACATGATCGTTTCTTCCACAGGTTGCTAGACGGCGAGTCAGGGCTCGCACCGGCAGAGTATGTTTAGCATCCCCTTCAATTGGAGGAACTGAGATTCGCCCGGCAGGCTGTCTT